TTCAGTCACAAGTGAAATCCTGTGAAGTGGGTAACCTGACTGACATTTATCATTTTTGACTTGATACATTGACAATTAAACGTGTTTTTAAGTATACATTGTTAATTTTTATCAAGTATTGTTTGTGCCATTAAAAGTAAGTGCTATATGGGGGGGATGGTGGATGAGCGGTTAGTTTGCGTGTCCAATGCACAGAGGCTGTAGTCTACCAAGCGGGTGGTCTGGGTTCAAATCCATCCTTTGGATACTTTCCCTCATTTCATTCCCCACTTTATCTCTCTGTCCCTGATCTCCAATCCTATCCTCTGTCCTGTCTCTACAATAAAGGCTTAACAATCCCAAAAATACATCTTTTAAAAAGTACTTGTGCTATTAAGGTGTATAGGGTTCTGTATGTGGTTTTTCTACTTTTGTCTTCTGATTTCATTTATCTATAGCTTGTCCCTAGTCCTATTTTTTTCACTTTTCCTCTTTAATGCTTAATTTCCTTCCTGACTATTTTAACTTTTTTTTTTTATTTTAGCTTATAGCTGCTTTTCAATTCTTAACTAAAATGTCAAAGGAATCCCATGAGTCACAGGAATAAGGTGAACTATATGTTTCACTGCATCACTATCACAACTATGCAGCCTTTTAAGTTTGAACAAAATGTCTCAGTTCTCAGCGTATTGTTACTGTTTCTGCCTTTGATTGCAGGCTGGTATTGAAGTGATTGTTAACCTGCAGACATTTTGTTTCTTCAAAATCCCTGCAGCACCCCAGAACATTTTGCACCTTTTCTGTCCCCTCCTGCCAATCTCCCGCGTTGTTAGTTCTCTGAATCGTTTTCTGTCTGTTCATTATCAATGCACTGCTGATTAGCACATCACCACGGAGAGCCGGTTGTCCATTCATTCAGCGTTCAATGGATATGACGCAAATCCCTGACCTTTTGGATGCCCCGTGGCCTGGACCTGCCCTCTTGGATTGTGGCTCTCTTGCCTCTACACGTCCCAGCTGGCACTCAGACAGGTCCGAACAGCTGAGAGGGCCAGAACACTGAAAGTACCAGAGGGGTCCAGTAGACCTGCTGCTGTCCTGCTGAGGTGCTCCTGGCAAGATCTGATGTCTGACTTTAAATATGCAACACAAGATGTGTTTTATTGCATAATGGTTCATTTTACAGCCACACCTGAAAAATACATGTTCAAGAAAAAATAAAGCAGTCTTCAGTGCACTGTAATCACTTCAGTGATGCTTTTAAAGTATCAGGCTATCATAAATCCATCACTTAGAGTTACATACAGATTAAGCGATGTCTCTTTATATGTATTTTTTATACCTTCAGGCTCCTTTTTAATCTGCTGCAAAAGAATCACAGATGCACTGGTCATTTTCAGTTATGACATCTTTCTGCTTAGTCATACAAACATGTAATACAACCACATGACCTCTCTCCCACAATAACAATTTAATGTCCCCACTCCCTCCTCTATCCCCTCATGGAGTTGTTGTAATCAAATATTCCGGAACCCCTTCACAGGCCTATTTAATAACAGAACGTTTCTCCATAAATTATTGTTATCATTGCTGCTTAGGCAAATCACAAGCAGTGATTCTACCTCTACAAATCTCGCCCTATATTTCGTCTTCTTCTTTTATTGTTACCTGTCCTTTCTCAATCTAAAACAAGTGTTGCAAATAATTCCATTGTCTAGCCTGTCACTGGTCTTTATCTGCGTATTATAGTAGCTTACATAATTATCTAGAAATTAGTTTAAGTTATAGTAGCCTATGACAACTGCTCTAGATAATAATAACATTTATTCATTTTTTTTTTTTTTGACGAATATAGGCCTAAGCACTGTTGCTTTAAAACGATTATTTATTTCCGACACCCGGGACCTTCAGATCTTCAGGCTAATGTCTCTGGTCACCCACATTTTTAAAATCTGTTCAGATTTTAAAATTGTCGAGTGTGTGAGCTATCTGGACTACATTCATAGTCGCTCGTGGGCCTGATTATGAGCGAGTGTCCACCAGAGGTCGTTCTAGCACAGGATGTTGTGTCCCAAAAGCACCGTCACTAGAGTTTATCGAAAAGCTTCATTACTTTAGCACATTCGGGATGCTTATCTTGAGTCATGAAATAAGCCGACTATCAACTTCAATGCAAGTTAAATAGGCCTACATTGTAAGCAGTTTTGGGCCCTCTCCCATGGTGCTGATGGTGCTGATGGTGCTGCAGAACCTCCAGAAATCAGGCACAATTAAAACCATCAAATTAGAAAAACATTTTAATTGATGTTAACCCAATTTTATGGCATAAGCGAATAAGTAGATTCAGCACAGCAGTGTGTATAATCTTCTGTTTACTATAGGCTATTAATCTGTAGGCTAAATTAACTTATCTTCAGGCTAAATTAATAATTTATCTTCAAAAGAGTCGCTATTTTATCAAATTGTCATGTAAAAAAAGGCTAAGTATTTGTTACTAAATAACTGATTATTGAGGGGTTATTATAGGCTACATTTCTTTACAACAATGGCTGTATGCTATAATCATTAGTGAGATGTGACCACAAACAAACCACAAGCAGGCCCACGTCTTTTCACAGAAGTGTTTTAGTTTTTAGTATAGAGACTGTCTCCCAGATTTGAAATCAGGTGATGTCCTAGCAGCTACAATCGTTGACCTGGACACCGTGATGTTTGAGTGAGCTTCGGCACTACACTTTTTAATACTGCAGAACAAGTCACTCTCATCAGTAACCAAACCCGCCCAATGCAATTTGTGTTATTATTATTATTATTAGCCTATTAAAAAGGTATAAGACAGCATGCTGGTTGAAAAAATTACAAGACAGTATCTACAGCCTATGTGTTACATGACAGTTCTGACTGACTCGTCTCTACTTCTGATGTTATCCAACGCGTCTCTACTTTATTGTATAATGTTTTGCGCGTCTGAAATAATTAGCCCACTAGCTGGCATGAAAAGCGAGACACGCTGCCGAAACCCGGGATCGAACCAGGGACCTTTAGATCTTCAGTCTAACGCTCTCCCAACTGAGCTATTTCGGCTTGCTGTAAGACTTTCATATGCAATTTGACCAACAGACCACCAGAGGACGGTCTTGCCTCGGATAATGTACTTTATGTCCCACTGACATTTGTCTGTTACTGTTTCATCATTGGGGGAAAAATACCCTTGTGAAATGTAAATGTAAACGGTAGGCTATATTAAAGTAGTAGGATCAAATATTAGGTAGGCTTAATATCTGAAAATAGACCTACACTCCCCTCATACTTACAGTGTTTTCCAAAATGCTGATAAAAGACATATCACTGTTGTATACGCAGGTTGAACCGAAGCCTCAAAGCTTGAGTTGAGCACTAAACTCCTTTACATTTAGGCTATATGCATGTTCTACTTTTGTTTTTTTTGTTTAGGAGCACTGTGTTTGAAATAGCCTACATGCCCTTGCCAACACAGAGCCCAAGACCAGAGCTACGTCAACAATGACCTTTAGCTCTACTTGTGCAAGTTAAGATGTCCAAATCTTAAAGTTCACTTCTGGTGAGATGCCAAACCTCATTTCGTTACTCTATACTTGTATATGTGTAATGACAATAAAGTTGAATCTCATCTCATCTCATGTTAAACCTTGTTTCCATGGACATGATCCTGTGGTTACGCACAAAGAGCTGAATTTTAGTCACCATCACAAACGTTCTTGCTGATGGCCACATATTCATATTTGATCAAGCAAAAGCTATCTGCAAAGGGCCTGCACAACAGGCGATCAATCAAAAAAGAGAGCTGAAAGACTGACATGCAGTGTTAGTTCAACTGAAAAACAGTATTTGAATGAATGTGTTTTAAGGAGACTATACTTTTCAGGTCCTTTCCATGGGTGCTTCTGACCTCATGCATCTTCAGATCAGATAAGAACTTAATGCTCCAACATTAAGACTTTTTCTTTTTTTTTCATAGCAAAGCATCACTAAAGCATTAAAATACACATGGAGGAGCTCAGGGTGTGCTGGATTTCCTCCTGAGAGCTGAGAGAAAACAGAGAGAAGAAAAGGAGGAAAATAATATTATTTCAGATTGTTTTACATACCAACCTAAGAAAATTAATATTCATAGTAGGCCTATTATGCGTTTTGGCATATCATGTGAAGGTAAGGCTGTATCTGCTGTGGGGGTATGCCTGAAGTTGGGTCCTAAACTTCCATCCTGTCACTCCCTGTGCAGCTAAAGAGACACATTTAAGCCTTAGTTTGCCTTTAGGAGGTTATAGAGGAAACAGAGAACAAATATGCCTATATCATACAGACCTTTCAAAGGGTTACTAAAAATGTCAGAAGCCTATTTCAATTTTATTGCCAGTGCAGAGAAGCCAGGACAGGAGTGATGTGGTCCGGTTTAAATTTATTGCCGGTAAATATTGCCGGTTTAAACAGCAAAACACTTTCACGAATAATGTGAATTATAGCCTAAATTTCACAATGTGGGAACATAGAGTTCTATTTTTTTTTAAATGTTAAAGCTGCGGGGTAATGTCAACTCTATGATGTTCCAGACAGCAAAAATGACACTTAAACTAAATTCCAAAAAACACCCAAGTAAAATTCCGTGTATGGCCTATCTGTAGCGTACCTGGCCAGCAAAGCGGATTCTTATTTAGCCTAAAAATGTATTTATCCTTAAATCTTTACCGCGTCATTCTTCTAACAATTTATTGTAGCATACTTTAAGAGGCTGATTTAATTCCCTAATAGGATATTGTAACAAAGTCGATTCCTTACTTGGACGCCACGAATGTAGTGTCTCGAAGTATATGGAGGCCATTGATTGGTTGTGTGTCTTCTAAATGTGCAACGAGTCGTAACAAGCTGTTTGATGATTGGAGGGGCGGGACATGGTCGGGACAGCTACTGAGGGAAAAGACACAAAAAAAACGGGGCTTCACAAGCATTGATACTTTTTATTTACAGTTTATGCTTCACACGAATTTCAAAAACTTTAGTATCCAGGGTTTATGATTAACAATAAGTTCACTAAAAATCACCAAAAAAAAAAAATCACTAAAAGTCATTCGGATGCCGAAACCCGGGATCGAACCAGGGACCTTTAGATCTTCAGTCTAACGCTCTCCCAACTGAGCTATTTCGGCCCGCATGACAGCGGTGTGTAATATCACATTAAATCGATAGAGGCCCCCCGCGAGTTATATATAGTGTTTAATTTGAAGATGTCCTTCATTTTATGGAAAAAATAAATCATAAATTATGAAGTATTATAACCTCATAGCCTGGAGTATTCTAGTAAGTATTTGGTGTAAGTATCTCACGAAATGCAAAAGTAAATAAACAATAGCCTATCATACAAGGAAAAAGTATAGGTCTGATTGTTCTGGCTTTGCCCTGTAGGCTTCATCCCACATATGACCCTTTTTGCAGAGGTCTGGAGCGCATCACTCCCACGCAACACAAAGCCCACGCAAGTTTTCAAAAATCATGCTGGCAGCTTTTCTAGTGCGTGCAGTAGACCTATAAGTCGCTGGATGGGGCAGGGCTTGAACACTGCTGGTTTGAAGCTATGTTTTGATTCACCCACTAAAACAGCAAAGTATGGCTTTATTCTCAACAGAGAACATAAACATAGTTCAGCCTTTGAGCTCGATTTTACAATGCCAACAGTAATAAGACGATGCTAAAATTAACACATTAACACATTGCACCACCTACTCAGTAGCCTTTATTACTGGCTGCTTTCTGATTATTGAATGAGCACAGGCATTAGCATGAGCCTCTTTAAAAACTGACAATCATTACAAATGTCAAACACAAGTAAGTTGATTTATTGGAAGAAATGTACAACTGTGTCCAGAAGGACTCAATGTTCTTTACGTCTGCAGTGTATCTCTGCATGTCCATTTATGTTTCAAGTGAAAAATCATGTGAGCTTCAGAGACAGAGCAGTACATTGTCTCCATGTTGTTCCCATCACAGCAGGTTTCTCATGCAGTTAGCACAGAGACACCCAAGGCTGGGGCTTTTAAGCCGTAAAGCCATGGGAATCTCTGGCCTTAGGCTTTTTGGTCAAAAATATTTTATGTTGCAGTGAAGAAGACATCCCTTGTTGATTCATACAAATATGGAACAAATGTATTTTATATTTATTTCTATACTCCAACATTGCATGGTAACACATTCACATAAAACACCATGAAAGCCAACAACAATGACATATAGTTGGTGTACATTTAATACAGTATACGTATACGTTTCTGGTGTGTTTACATTCAGAAACGCATCCGTTGTGTGTGTGTGAGTGTGTGCCAAATAGAAAGAGAAATCACATTCCTTCTATATTGAGCACCACTCAGAGTACAGAGGACTCAAAGCAGTGAACACACAGGCTGGTAGATCACAGTCAACAACAAAAACTAGTCTGGGCTAAAATGACAGTTACTCTCTTGTGGTTGCTGGTTTGCTGAGGTTGAGTTAAACTATGGGACACATAATCTGAATCAATCCTCAAATGTAGAAAAGTCAGTCCATATTTAAACAGAGGCTGAGTGACAGTAGAGTTCTTCTATAATAAACTCACATGTGCTCAATATTCACATATATGTACATAAGTGTTATTGAAAAGTTTCAAAAATAATCCTTTCAACATTGTAAACCCAAAATTGAACCACAAAGACACCTAAAATAAAAAATATTTTCAAAACAACAGACAAGTGCAATAAAAAATACTAATTATCAGTAGGTTGTCAGTAGTCAATAGTTGATGAGAACGTACTCAGAGAGGTGTCGAGTAAAGTCAGCAGTCAGTTTTGAGGTTTGATTTCTTTGTGATGACCTGGACGGCATGACGTCAAACTTTTTTCTACTTATTTTGTCTGCCACTTGTGTCATCCCCACTAGCTACTTCAGGTGATTTTGTTATAATTCTAATTGACATTCGATTACGTATTAACTTCACTTTAGTCAGAAGAAGGTTTAGCGCTTCGCCTAGCACAAGTTCACCACATGGGGAAACAACTAGACTAACTCTGTCATAGGACAATATGTTATTTGTTTTTAATTCATTTTGATAAAGTGTAGTAACAAGAGTTAAAGGTGTTTTTTTGTACAGAGCCAAGGAAGATGTGTCCTCTGGTTTCCAGTCTTTGTGCTAAGCTAATTAATCTGGCTGTGGCTTCATGTTTGCAGTACAGAAATGAACAGGTTGAATAATTGTTTAAACAGCAGTCTCAACCTTTTTCACGTAGTATTCCCGAAACATCTGTAAGATATTAAACAAATTTATACATTAGGGAGCAAAAAAGTTACATGTATGTGAAAGAACTTTGCAGGTTTTATAAAGACACATTGTAAAATTGACCCTCTGAATTACTACTGTAAAGTAAAACTGCATCTAAATCCCAAAGTAGCCTGTAATTGTTCACTGACTTGTTCCTCACCTTTTCTCTATAGAAAGAGTCTCTTTAGCCATGACTGATTTATATTCTGTCTTCTTTCATGTACTCACTTTGTTTGTATCCAACATGTTCCTCTTTTAGTTCTGAATACACTATAACATCGGATAAAGCTTTCAGAACAGAAGTAAGATAGACACAATATTGAACACATTCAAGGAGTGGGTCAGAGTAATTATCAGAGTGTATAATTGTATCAACATTTCTTTACAGCTGCATCAGATCCGGTGAATTGTTTTTAGATCGCATTATTTGCTAGAGATGTAAGCACCGCTATGAGAATGTGCTATCATTCATATGTAAACAGTTCCTTATACGACAGAGTGTGTGAACTATCTACACCCTATATACACTTGTTTGTTTTTTGTATATTCTTCTTCATATGTAGACGCTGTGCACACCACAGTGACGACAGCATCATGCTGCCACTGCTGCCTGAGGTGAATGGTAGCTGTGTTAAGCCTTTACTGCTGGTTTTATTGAAACACCTCCCAGAGGCAGAAATGTGTTTTTCATGCACTAGTGAGTTTCATAAAAGAACACACCAGTGACTCATTTCTGGTTTTAATTATACAGTTTGTGCCCATGTGTGTCCGTCTCACAGGACCTCTGCCAGGCAACGGTCAGTTCCTTCGCTTGCTTCTAGCCGCACCTGCCGGCTGGTTTTTCTGTTCTCCACCCAGGAGTTGTGTATGACCGTGGCCCCTGGAGAAGGATCCACCTGAAGCAGGGACACCACCCTCTTTTTAACCTTTGAACGAAGAACACGCCGCAGCTTCTGTCGGGTGAAGGCATAGAGCAAAGGGTGGGACACGGTGGTGCCATAGGCCAAGGCAAGGAACCAGAGGCGCACGCTGACCAGGGTGTCACTGGGGCCCAAGCCCAGGATTAGTACATTTGTCACAGAGAGGGGAGCCCAACAACCCAGGAAGGTGGTGATGATGATGAGGGACATCCTGAAAACCCGCCTCTGCCGCTCTCTGCGATCCCTGTGTCGCCTCACTGCCCGCCTCAGGGCAATGATGGCAGACACAGAGGCCTGGACACCCATGGTGGCAGGCATAGGAGTCGCAGCACCTGAGTCTGAGGTCACCAGCGGGGCAGTGGAGGACAGGGCAGGAGGGGAGGTGGCTGTGGGGGTTGGGGAAGGTGAATGTATGAGTGGAGGATGGCTGAGCTGTTTGGTAGCATCCATGGTGCACTGCTCCCCTCCTTTATCCTCGCCATCATTCATTCTGAGCCCTTCCTTCTTTTTCTTTTGTTTCTTTCGGCGCTCTCTGCAGGAGGGGCCCTTGGGCCGCTGGTTCTTCTTCATCTGGGAGCCAATGCGGATGTTTAAAGCCCTCAGTATTTTGGAGTAGGTAAACAACATGACCGCCACTGTGGTAAAGAAGATGGGTACCTGCAGAAGGAGATGGTAATACATGCCCAGGTCTGTGTGATAGCCCTGCCCGCCAACACACAGCAGAGTCTGGTTACGCCACGCTGGCACCACCATGCCATTGACACCATAAGAGGAAAACGACATAGGTGTCTCCTGCCCTCTCTCCTCTGCTCCGTCTCCGGTGGACCATTGCATCTCCAAGAATGGGATAAAAAACACAGCCACAGAGGTGACCCAAACAGCAGCCAGGAGCAGCGTTGCTCTACGTGTGGTCAGCAACCTGTTCGCGGGTCGTACTGAGATGTCATATCGGTCCAAGCTGATTACCAGGATGTTGATGGCTGTGGCTATGCTGGCGAAGGTGACGCAGGCCTCGTGGAAGCAGCAGAGCAGGGCCAGGTTTGGTCCTGGAGGCAGCAGCACAACCACCAGAGTGAGAGGTAGACACAGCACACACACTGCCACATCCAGCACGTGCAGATTCACAGTCACCATGTTGCTCACAGAGTCCACTAAGTTAGATTGAGAGCAGTAGAGCACCAGCACAGTCAGGTTGCTGCTGAAACCCAATACCAGCTCCAGCATGAGGAAGGCGGTGAGTGACACCTGGAAGCCAAGCGAGTACGGCATGTACCAGGACGCAGGACTGATGGACAAGCCCTCTCCTCCCATTCCCTCCAGGCCGGCCGATGACCCTACCCACCCTGTGGTGGCTGGACCTGTGGTGGCGTCCGTCTCCATGACGACCTGTCAGCCCTTATATATTGTATCTGTCAGTCTGAGCTCATATGATGCACCAGACTGAGCGTCCATGATGCAGGGATGACAAACAGCTTGGTGACAGCACTGGGGAGACAGGAACACAATGCAGACAGATGAGAGAGAATCAAACACATTTTCTCCTATACTCTCATACTGCTCTTACCCCTACCCCTTCTTAGACAATATGCATTTGTTCACAAGCAGATGGTGCAAAGCCGGCAAAGACATTGTGAGAAGCTAAACAACTATGTCGACTGACAAGGTACAGTAATATTACCAGATTTTGCGCAAAAATGACTCTGCAAGCGTCTTCAGCCTTTTGTTTGCAAACTGTTTTAATGTGGAGTAGGTGTATGTATATTCAACTGTTGCCATGATATGTACAGGCTGTGGCCAAATTGCTACATTGGAGACAGTTATTTATTATACTAGGTGTGATAGGTTTGTATGGTTCCAAAGTTATTAAGCAAATTTGAAGATTGACAAGGAAAGATGAACTCTGGAATAAGATGGATGTATTGATTTATTTGTCTGCAAAGCTGAGACAAAACTTGGAGCAGATGACTTTCTACACCCGGTAAAGCTACTAAACATGAGATGATGACACCGATATCCATACAGCCAAACATTCTGTCAAAGTCTAGTATGAATAATATCTGACTGCATGGATGTACACTGTTTTTTTTTCCCGGTCCCTCTCTCTTTTTACCTTCTAAGCTTCATCCATCTCCGTCCTCTTCCTCTAGCTCCAGTTATTGTGTCAAACTGCACAGATACCGCCTAACTGGCTTCTTTTTAAAACTGAAGGCTGGTGCGTGAACTAGTACCATAAAGCCATACGCGAGATTACACATTACAAGGATTGCGCTGCATTTTGGGAAACTGGCTTGCAGACAGACGCTTTTCAGCTCTAGGCCTTCATCAGCGATCAGCGCTTTAATGAAGGCCTAGAGCTGAAACACATCTGCTCTTACCCAGATAAAGGAAACTTGAAGGACATTTAGTGTGCTGACTTTTCTGTCTCTTTCTATTTCGAGGATGACAGTGATCCAATTATTTATTTGAAAGACTGCACTTTGCTGTCAGTATCGTAACATTTGATAAAGTCTAAAGTGTTCTCTGCTTTTATTTAGTGCTGCAGCGCACACCTGTTATCTGCTGCAGCAGTCTGACAGAGCCTGTTGGTGTTGGTTTGCACACAGAAAGCATCTCTCTGTATTGACAGCCAGAAGATTAAAGGTTTTGTGTCAAACAGTCCCTCAGTCATTGATTGGAAGGTGATTGCACCTGTGGGAAATCAATTGAGTGATTACAATCACAGCTTCCTTTCCCCTGAATAGATCATGAGGTGAACATTTCTGCATCAAAAGTAAAAAGAACAGAAAACAAACAGCACAGCAAATCAACTCTCAACCGTCATCTTCACAACTCCTCTCTGGCAACAACACATCCAGTCAAGCGATGGACTCTTTCTGCAGTTCTCCCCAGTTTCTGTTGCCGCGGCAACCCCACCACAAGGGCCTAGATTAATGAGGCCACAGGTGCTATAGTTTTGAAGTGTATGACACCTGGCTCGTTGGTAATGTCATGCTGGTGGCAGTGTAACAGTAGACATGTTTAAGTCTCTCAACTACAAAACAAAGAGCTTGTAAAACATGTTACATTACCACAGAAAAACGCAAAAAAAGACACACACAAAAATTTTCATGCTGCTGCATCAGCGTTGGCCTGTTGAAGTTTGAATCAAAATGTCAACTGAATATTGCACTGAGGAAGTGAATGCTGCTAAATTAATGGTTCACCTTGAAACTGATGTATGATACAAAAAACAAATAGCTACTTGTGAGGGGAGAAAAAAAGAAATATTCACATTTGAGAAGAAGGTTAGTGAAAAAACATCAAGTAAAAAGAGGGAGGGGTAGGGGCGCTGGTGGCACAGTGATTAGTGTGTGTATGGAGGCTGCAGTACTCCGGGCGGGTGGCCCAGGTTCGAGTCCCACCTGTGGCTCCTTTCCTGCATGTCATTCCCCAACTCTCTCTCCCTGATTTCCTATCTCTCCATTAAAAGCCCAAAAATAAATATTTGGAAAAAAGGGAGGGGTCAGATTTTTAGTTTAAATTGTTTGTCTTTGTGTCTTTCAGGCTGTTGCAGTATTGTATGCAGGGTTACTTAAAAATCCTTAATTTCAATTCCTCTTTTCCTGACCTCAGCAACAATCGAGAGGTTTGCATCAGGGGATTTGAGGGACTTGGCAGGAACATGAGTTTTAACCACGAAGACAGATAAGACTAATTTAATTCTCTGACCGACAGGTAACTAATATTTTAAGATTGGAGTAATGTTGCCTCTGCTTTACTTCAGAGCATGTGCTGCTGGAAGACAAATGCAGTAGTCCAGTCTGCTGGAGATAAACGCATATATGAACTTTTTTGTCTAAATAGCAGCAGTATATGTACAGTAGTTCACATTTATATGTCTTAAAAAATAATAATCTAGTCAAAGTAACTGAGAACTTGGACTCTTACTTTTTTCAGTTTCGTTTTAATTAGTTTAACTGTCAGTATTTTCCTGATGAAGGTCTAGTAAGGACACATACCGATAACTGTTTGTTTGCAAGTTTGACAATGTGCAGGAGTAATGATGAAAAGAATATAGTCAGTGAGATTTAACACGCCAAGCACAGAAAACTTAAATACCCTTGATAATAAAGTTGTAAATAAATCCTGCCCACTACGCTCTCCCAATGAAAGGCGTCTGATCCAACCTTCACAACAGGGTCCTAAGTCTCTAACTAGACTCTTCTCCTCTGTCGCCCCCCGGTGGTGGAATGAACTTCCAAACTCCATTGGATCTGCAGAGTCCCTCTGCACCTTTAAGAAAAAGCTAAAGACCAGCTCTTTCATGAATACCTACGACCTTAATGATGACGGTCTCCATATTATTGATGACGATGGTTTTTGTTTGATAACGATGACTTATGAGATGGTTTCTATACTGATTAGAGCTCTCAAGAACTGCGCTCAATGTTGTGCTTTGCCTCTGTGCAATGCCTGTCAGCAAAGCTGATTGTTTGCTCTTACTGACATTGTTCCCTTTTTTCTAGATCCTTGCTTGTGTTGTTCTTACTCTCTGATGTACGTCGCTTTGGATAAAAGCGTCTGCTAAGTGAATTGTAGAATTTTTGAAAACAACGTTTTAAAATCACTGGGATTGAAGCAAAGAATGTAGACAAAAACATTCTGATATTTAAGATTTTTGTCAACAGACTCATATTAGAGACGCATGCAATTGAAGACACTTAGGCTAACTGGCATATGATGTTTAGTATGAACTGAATAAGCGTTTTCTACGAGTGTTGCAAAAAGGTGATGTGTTAAATATTGCCTATTGTAGTCTGTGTAACATTGTCTGTTTGACTTTCAAATGTTGCTGTTCTTCCTGGGCATTTAGATGGCAGACTGGGAATGGAAAGCCCCTCAGATCAACAGCACTCTTCTTTATCTATTTTCAGTAATATAAGCAAATATTAGACTTTATGGAAACAAGCACTACAGCATGAGCTAAATTAATGAGGAACAATTTATAAGTTAATAGTTAATATCTCACGGGAAAATAAGGAGAAATAAAGAGGGGACAGTGGGAACTGTAATTTGTAGAAAAAACAGGGGCTCGGAAAAAAAGCGTACAGTGAACAACTGAAGGTGTGCACAAGTACAGACCTGCAGCCCCTCTCTCAGTTTGCAAGTTTCCAGCTGGTCCGTTCGTGAGCAGACTTTCCGATTTTCATCAGAGGCTGGAATTGGGGGAGAGGGCAGATAAGGAGCAAAGCGGGGTTGTCTGGATGGAGACTGGAGAAAAACTGAAATGGATTCTTGCCAAAAGAGTGCAGGCATCACCTGGAAGTTACAAATCTGAATGCTCCCTAAAAGGCGGGCACAGATTACACAGCATGATAGGAAGGAAGTTGAAAAAAGGCCATAGCCAGCAGCTCAGGTAAACAATAAGTCCCATGGAGCAAAGGTGGCAGATTTTTTTTTTCCACTCTAAAATCTGACATCAACCTCTCCGGGCTGCTGCCGGTTTCCTAGTTGCTTTCAGTACCCAACGGACCACTTCAGTCCCAACAGACTTTGCTCATGATTGCCTGAGTGAAAAGCTGCATGATGACTACACAGGTTAGACTCTTAACGCACAAGGAAAGGGAGGTGGAACACATTTTTTTTTTAAATCAAAAGAGAAAAGTAATCAGGCTCAATGGCCCAGCAGCCAATCATCAATTGAGCCATTACATATTTTTTATATAGAGAGTGATGGCTTTGGTTTGATTTTTATGTAACCTTATTTTTTAGAGGTAATTCTCGACAAAAAGTGCAGTTAAATTGGTTTTCTCTAACCTTATTATATGGAGTCTAAAGAGATATCCATGTGGAAAATAAATCCTTCTTCTGACCCAGCTGTGGCCCAAAATGCCCCATCTGCCTCTGCCATGTTCACACTGTTTCAGCAGGTTATTAGGAATTTCTCCCTCTTTGGAAAACTGAGTCTGACTGACCTCAGGGCCACCAGGTTAGACCGTCTAAGGCTCAGTTCAACTCGAAATCCAGATGAAACCTTGTCAGAAAGCTGCACAACTACTTCTGATTAGTAGCTTTGAGTCAGGTGGTGAATGTGAAACCAAGAACATCTAAAGGTTTCCTAATTAAGTCGCTGCGAGTGGAAGAAGCTCACCAGGGAATGCTCCAGGTGACGTGTGAGAGTGACCTTCTCTAACCTTGTGCAAGGCAATAATGCCACGTAGACCCAGACATACAGAGAGCCGGTAAAATGTCACACCAAGGTGATGACTTTAATCAATGGTAGAGCCATTTTAGCAACACCTTCTGCCTTTACTTCTGACACATTAGGAGATCGATTGTGAGAGCAATGACAGCAGACACTGGAATTCAAGTCAAGACGAGTTGAGCTCCAGTTTAAGTTGAACCTGGAGGATGGAAGTTGCGTGATATACAGACTTCAGATTTGTCACTTTGAATCATGAATCTGAAAAACTGGTTGAAGAAATACATTTGTTGTTTTGGAATAT